CCCACCTCCTCACCTCACACAGGCAGCCCACCTCCTCACCTCACACAGGTATCCCACCTCCTCACCTCACACAGGCAGCCCACCTCCTCACCTCTGGTCTTTTCCATGTTATTTTTCATCTTCTCCCCCGTCCTCTGCCTGTCTCAATCCTGCCTGACCTTCACACTTTCCTGCACACTCCTGCTCCTGGGACTCCCACCTCTCCTCTCTCTGCAGCACTGAGGCAGCACTGGGGTCTCTTACGACAATCCTCATATCTGTTCAGGAGTCACCTTAGTTACTAGTGTACGTGGGTCATCTCCTGGCACTGGTGTCATGCTTTGAGGGTGGAGCCTCCAATGGACTCACCTTCATCCTCCTCAATGCTGGTACAATTCCACGCGAGGAGTAAACAAAGCAAGAAAAAGCAAACTCGCAACAGCTCCCTGGCAGAGTACAGCTGCCAACCTTTCAGTTAGTGGTCAAGAGTGTCCACCATGCACTGTCCAGTAAATAACTGCTGAGCAAATGGAAAAACGGGATCCACACCAGCCTCCTCCTCTGCCCAACCATCATGTCCTTGAGGGAATTAAAGTGTCTTTTCTTACAACTCGGAGAGCCTAGAAGAATGCTGAGTCTATATAATTTCTCCAGAAAACCTTGCTGAGTAGAAAGAAATGCGCACTGGCCTCGGCTCCTGAAGAAGAGGCGGCAGCAGACCAAATACCAAGAAAGGCAAGACTCGAAAGCACGGGGCAGGAGACGACAACCTAGGGGCTGGATCAAGCCCACCACCTGTTTCTGTAAATCAAGTTTTACTCAGAGCCAAGCCCATCTGTTGACATGCTGTCCAGGGCTGCTTTTGTGCTACCGTGTAACCTGGAGTGGTGCTGTTAGGTGCTGTTGAACTGGTGCCAGTTCAGAGTGACTTCATTCATGACAGAGCAGAACCCTGCCTAACACCGCACCAGCCCCAGCTAGAGTTGAGTAATCACAGGAAAGACCGCACGGCCCGCAGTCAAAAGATCTACTAAATGGCCATTCAGGAAAGTTTGCTGACTCTTGCTGAAGAGTGTTGTCTTCTTCCGGAACCAGCAATAGTAGCCGTGTTTACCAAGGTTGAAAGGTGACTTCCTACCAATTTAGACTTTCTCACAGGACTGGAGCGACTGTCCCGCAGACCTGAGACCTCTGTCCCCAGGTCCTAAAACTTTCTACCTGGAGCTGTGGCTCCAGAGATTCCACGATCCCTGTCTCCAGGACTGGCTCTGGGAGTGCACCCAGGACCCTGCCTGGAGAGGTGGCCCCAAGGCTCCCTTCCGGCTCCTCCCACGGCGCCCCTCACCTTGTCCACCTTGTCCAACCAGTCCTTGTTAGCGGCCAGCTCGGCCATGAAAGCCTGATGCTTCTGCCACTTGGTGTGCAGGTTGCGGGCCTCGTCATAGGACACGTCCTGGGCGGTCAGCATCTTCTCATCAATCCAGAGTTTCAGCTGGACCAAACACAAAGCAGGAATGAAGAAGGGCCCAGGGAACACTCCAGAGGGAAGGGAAGAGTGAGGGGCCAGGCTGGGAGAAGTGGTGGACCTGGGCGGCTGGGGATGTGGGGGGAGGCCCTCAAGGGGCTCAGGTGACATCATGACGGACTTATTCCAGGCTCAGAGCAGAGCAGTACGGGGAAAGCTGGGGAGGGGGTGTCAGCTGGGAGCTTCACCTCCTGGCAATCTTGTAAGAAATGCTGCTGCTCGCGGTTGTCCCGAAGCCGACTCAGAAGCTGCTGCACGTCTTCTTGGTTCTTCTTGTGTCTGCAATGACAGCCCTTGGTGAAAAGCCTTGAACTTACAGGTACATTGAAGGGAGAATATGGCAGTTGCCCCACCACCCCCAAGTTTGACCACTTCCTGAGAAACTTAAGAACACCTGAGCTGGTCATCAAGGACCAGACCAAACAATGGATCCTGATAAGAATCTGAGCTTGAGAAAACAAACAAACAAGCAAACACACACACACACACACACACACACACACACACACACACACAGCTAAAACCTAACTAAATTAACACACCAACTTCCAAGAAGTACCATCTTGGTCCTCCCCAAGACCCCTATAAAAAGGAAACCACCCAAACTGCCTGCATTCCATTTGGACCCTGTCTGCATGCCATGCTGCTGGGTCACTTGGTGTCCCTCTCAGGCCTATTCGTTTCTTGGGACCAATTCCTTTCTTTCTCTCCCTCACACCCTCGCACTCTTTTTTATATCTAATATACATGGTTATAAACGTCTCAATAACTCTAGAAATCTTCAGTCCTCCTGCAATGAGGCTATCCCTTTCAACAGCTCAACAGCACTGGGAAGCCAATACTAAATATTTGTAATAAACCTATTCAGGTACCAGCTGGAGTTCACACTGAGGCACTAAGGCGATCCTTAAGGGTTTACCGGGTTCTTGCATTGTATTCGCTGACCCCTCCCTCCTCAGTCAAGCAGAAGGTTTTCAATAGAAAGAGCCTGGCTTCATTTGCACTGAATGCTCTTTGTGATTTACTTCCTGATAATTTTCAATAAAGATACAGGGAAGCTGGAAGGGGGGGGTCTTCAGTCGAGAACTGCTGGCCCCCTGTCTTTATTCTGTTTTATCTCATTCTTGGTTGTCTGTCTCATTATTAATAATTATGAAAATACTTTACCCTCGGTCTGCAACACTACAGGGCACCCCAGGAGACCTGATTCCAGTGCCCAGCTTCCCCACAGACTTTGCTTTGTCTAGCGCAAACGGAGGCAGACTCTCCTGTCCCATGGCTTCATTCTTCTCCAGCCACTTGGTCCTTCCACCTCCCTTTTTGTCAGCTCCTCTCTCTCTGCTCTGTTGGTGTCTGTGGGCCACGTTCTCCATCTTTGAGGTCACTGTTTCTATGTATTTCCCTCTCAGGCCCCTCAGTCACCTACCGCCATCATCATACCTCCTCTCGATGGAGTCTGCCTTCTCTTGGATCTTCTCTGCATGGATGTTGCCCTCAGACACCAACTGACGCCCAGACTCTAGGAGCCCACGGATGCGCTCCCCATTGGCATCCATGGTGCTCATGAAATCTTCCAGTTTTTTTATGGCAGCATCGGCAGCCTGGAGTGTCCCTGGCATCTCCGTGTGAGAGAGAACGTATTCCTGTGTGGGAGGGGATATTTGCAGCTCAAAGCACAAGTCAGGCTTGGGGGAGAACAGAGCTACTCAGAAAGAACCTATCTAGAAGACACATCTAAGAAGGGGACAACTGGGGACAGGGTGGCCTGGACGGGGTAAAGTGTCTAATTCAGAAAATAAATTGAGTCAGGGTACCTGAAAATGATGGATCAGCTCAGAAGGTTACAAGGGAGGTGGCACTGCAGGGCTCTTAAGAGCCCGGGTTTCTGTTCTATTTTCTTTCTAGTTATTGAGTCACTCAGTGCCTTCAAACTGGAATTGACTCACAGCTGACCCTCCAGCAGGCTTTTGGAGACTGTCAATCATTCATGAAGAGATTGTCCACCTTAACTCCTGCAGAACTGCGGGTGGATATGAACCACCAGAGAGGCACCACCTTCGGGTTACAGTGCAACAGCTCCCTACGATCTAAGCCATCAGAGCTATGACTAGCCAGGATTTCGATTTCTATTTCTTCCTAAGTCAGCTTTGGCAAGCTATAGCTACATCATTTTTTTTTCTTCCACTCTCTTGTTTTCTAACATGTTTTGTTTCTGCAAATACTCTACACACTAGCATTTCTTCCTAGCAGGTCCATCACTGCCCCTGGTTCCAATTTCCCTCTTCTTTCAGGATGGAACTTTGCCCCCATTCTCTGGGCTCTCACCTGGCTGCTGAGCACTCCCTCAGCCTGGCGAGCATCCCGCAGGAACCCCTGGAAGCCATGGGCCTGGGCCAGGCGACCTTGCCGGCTCTCCCACATGCGGCCCAGCTCCTCCCAGCCGGTGCCCAGGGCTTCCAGTCGCTGCCGTAAGAAGAGGCACTGGGGATCGGCCTGGTCCCGGGTCACCTCCTCACCCAAGGCCCGCAGTCGGCTGTATTCGCTCTGGGCCCGCTCCACCTCTCCTCGTAGGCCTGCGTGTTGGGCCAAGAGGGCCTCTGCTTCGGGCAGGGTGGCTGGCCCTTCTTCAGAGGCCACAGCAGTCTGTGTGCGGCCTAGCCAAGCCTGGAAGTCATCCAAGCTGCGTAGGAAGTCCTGCAGTCGCCGTGCTTCACCCAGAGACTCTTCTCGACGGCGCATGGTAGCCCTTAGGTCCTCCCAGCCGGCTTGTACCTCTCCCAGACGGGCATTGATGGCAGCGGCTTGGGCTGGATGGCTAGAGGCCAGGGCGTTTGCTTCTCGTGTCAGCTCACTCACCCGGGCAGCAATGGCCTCCAAGTCCCGCTCAGTGCCAGCCAGCTTACGCTGCAGTGCCAGCACCCCAGCCAGGTCATTGCCCAGACCCTGGGTGGACTCAATGACTTTGGTCTTTTCTCTCATCCAGGCCTGGGTCTCTGTGCATTCTAAGTGATAGTTCTGGATACTCAAGGCCGATGTCAGTGCTGCCTTTTTGCCATCTGCCAGGGAACGAAACTGCTGCCACCTGAGGGGAAATGAGGGAGTTTGGATTTGCTCAGCTTCCCGGCCTCAGCCAGGTAGGTTCCGAAGCGTCTTCTGACCTCTCTTCGCCTTGCTGTACTTTACCCACCTTCTTCTATTTTTAAATTATGGCAAAATGCACGTACCATAAAATCTACCGCTTGAATAATTTTGAAATGTAGAAGAGCAGCGATGGTTTCTATTTCTTCCTAAGGCAGCTTTCCAAACACAGGCACACGTTTTCTCCTCGCTCCCTTGCACTTCAGTGGCATTTAGTGCGGTCACAATACTGTGTGACCATCACCATTATCAAGACCCTGAACACATATTCTCTGAAAAGGAAACACTACAACCCCCTAAACAGTCATTCCCTCTGCTGCCTCCTCAGCCCCTGAAAACCATGATTCTGCTTCCACCTCTGAGGAGTTCTCTATTCTAGACATTTCACAAAAATGAAATCGTATACTCTATGGTCTCTCATGTCTGCCTTCTTTGACTCAAAAGGATTTCCTAGGTTTATCTACAATACAGAATGCATTGGAATTTTATTCCTCTTAAAGGCTAAATAATCAATCGCCCATGGAATGGAAGACAACATAGGGCTTACTATTGGTTGGCTGATGGACATTTGGACTGTTTCTACCTTTTGGTTATTATGTATATACTATAAAAATGGACTTAAAATAGCCTGCAAGAGCTATGACCTCATCTAACCTGAGGATAGAAGTAGAGGGTGCTTGGCTACCACCAGGAATCCAATGCATGGTCACAAATAAGATGGGATGAAAATGCAGAATAAAATCCAGCTTCTTATAAAAAGGCCAGACTGATGGGCTGACAGGGACTAGGGAGACCCTGGAGAGGATGAACCTCAAATGCTCTTTCAGTTACGGCCTCTACATCCTACCCTGCTGCACCCGTTCTCTGCGGTCCATTCCGGCCCTCTTCAGACCTACCTGTGATTGAGCTGCTTCTGGGTGTCCACAATGCTCTCTTTGCTTGGGGGGTTGGCCTTCAGCAGCTGCTCGGCAATGTCATTGACGGCGGTAATTCGAGCTGCAAGGGCGTTCATCTCAGGCTCCAGGGTTTCGAACCTGAGGAGACAGAGGAACTGAGCCTGAGTGGATCGTATGAAGCCTCTCCCTCAAACTCCCACGAGAAAGCCCCTGCTTCCACAGGAGGCTTAGTCACAGGGATCTCTGCCCCTTGTAGCCTACAAGATTCCCTGTGTCTGAGAGTAAAGTCCCCACTTGTCCCAAAACTGGTTGGAAAATAATCATCTAGCAATAGAGTTCCTTTAAAAAGAGGAAGTTAACGGCCAGGAGCATCTGCACATCAGGTCAATTAAACCCTCGCAGAGAGCGCACCACCAGAGCCTCTCTTTTCTGAAATAATGACATAATGACCAAAAATATTTGTTAAAGTGATAAAGATGCAATGTGTAGCTTGTCCTGGGGAATATTTTACATTCTAATAGGACAAGAGATGGTAATTTTTTTTTTCTCTGTAAAGGGTCAGATGGTCAATCTTCTGGCTTTGTAGACCAGATGGTCTCTGCTACAGTTATTCAGCTTTGCTGTTGTCTCAGAAAAGCAGCCGTGAGCAGCATAGATAGGAAAGGGCATGGCTGTATTAGATTAAAATTTTCTTTACAAAAATAGGCAATGGCTAAGTGTTGGCCCCAGGGTTGTAGTTTCTGATATCTGCAAGAGATTCTCTTTAAAAAGCAATCATTTTTAAAACCGCCAAGAAAATCTGATTATAGACTGAGAGGTAGATGCTATCAAGGAATTGCTAATTTTGTCTATATGATGATCATATCGTGGGTTCTATAAGAAAAATGTCCTCGCGAAAGTAGTTCAAGATTTAGTGTTCTGGAAACAAAACATTTTGTCTGAGCAGTTAATCCTATGGGGTAATTCTACTCTGCCCTGGGGGGCTGGAATTCCTTCAACGGCAGTGGGTTTAAGCCAATATCTGCCTAAAAATCTTATCACTTTACATTCTCTGCTCTTTCAAGTTCACATACGTAATTATTAAAAAAAAATCACATATGTTTAAGACTTCCAAATATTTCTTCAAGGATGCATCCTGAAGAACACAGGGGTGAACTGAAAATGTTGGGGCTTTGCTTTAAGAGAGGGAGATGAGGCAAACAGAACAAGAGCCTGCTAATTACACAATCCAGAGAACAGGCCTACGGGGACCCACTCGTTCCTTCCTTCATTCATTCATTTTGGCCTCTGTCTGACGTTCTTCATTAAAATAAAAACCACCATCAGGGGCCATTGGTTTGACTCAGACTCATACAGACCCCTCGTGTGTCAGAGCACACACAGCTGTGCTCCACAGGGTTTTCAGTAGCTGATTTTTTTATACGCAGATTGCCAGGCCTTTCTTCCTAGGTGTTTCTGGGAGAAAGCCTCCAATCTAAGACCTCAGTCAGTAGCCTAGTGTGTCAACAGTTTACACCTTGCCCAGGGCTACCCAAATCCAAACTAGACAACCCCTAAAGCTCAAAGAGATGTAGCAAGAGCTCCTGGGGCAGATTGGGCCCCATCACCTCTCACTGTGGAGGTCCTGGGGGAGCCAGGGAGGCCCTACCTTTGCTGCACCACTTCCAGGTCCTCCAACCGCTCGGGCAGCGCCAGCCCGTTGAGCCACTGCTCCTTCTCCTCGACCCACAGTCCGCAGGCCCCCGCCTCACTGAGCATGGTGTAGAGCGCCAGGGCTGCCTCCAGGTCCCGTGCCCGCCCGCCTGCCCGGGCCTGCAGCTCCTCATACTGCTGCTCCAGAGTGGGCACCCTGCCCTGCACCTCGGGGGCACAGGTCACGGAGGGGGGCAGGGCCGCTGCCTGCTCTTTCAGGGCATCCAGCGTGGGCCGGTGGCCACGGATCTCCTCCTCCAGTGCCCGATGCTGCCTGGCCAGGGCCTGCGTGGAGAACTCGTCATGCCCCAGCTCGGGGCTGGACACCAGCCGCAGCGCGTCCACCAGCCAGGCTTCCATGTCGTTGGCGTCCGCCTGGAACTGGTAGAGGCTGGCGGCCTGGGCCAACCGCTGGGCCCGCTCCTCAGCCAGGGCCTCCAGCCGCTCCCACTGGGCTTGGAGCTCAGCCGCGCGGGCAGCCGCCTGCCCGGCCCCGGGGTGGCCCTCAGCCACCAGCTGCTGGCCCTGCTCCAGGATGAGCTTCAGGGGCCCCAGGCGGCCGCTCATCTCACCCCTCAGGGCTGTGTGCTTGTTGAGCAGGCGAAGGGCGCCGGTCAGGTCACGGCCAGTGTCAGCGGAGGCCAGAAGGTGCTGCTGCTCCCGCACCCAGGCCTCGGCCTCGCCCACCTCCCAGAGGAAGCGCCAGAGGCGCCGGGACTCCTCCAGGCGGGCTCGGCGCTCGGCTGCCAGCTTGCACAGCGCCTCATAGCTCTGCTCCAGCGCTGCTACCCGATCTGACACCAGCTGAGGGTCGCAGGGTTTGTACTCTGGAAGAGTTACAGCTGGGGGTCAAGAGTTGGACTTCTGCTCTACTCCTCCCTATCCCTCTCTGTTCTAACTGGGCCCCCCTCCTCCCTGCACCGACCTCGGCCCCAGGTTTCCGTGATCCCTCCCTCCCTGTCCCCCTACCGGTCAGTCATAGCCTCAGGCGTCCCCCTCCTCCGTCCCCCTGGTTTGACTTGCTGCCTCTCCGTCCCCCTGCTCTGGGCACTCACCTTTCTCGGAGTCACAGAAGCGCAGTGCGGAGGCACTGACAGCCTTCACCCGCTCAGCCTGCACGGCGATGTCGGCCTCCACCAGCTGGTGCAGCTGCAGCAGGTCCTCCACCCCGGCCAGGTGCTTGCCCAGGTCCTGAGACTGCAGCCGGCCCTGAGGGGACACGCAGCGGACCCTGACACCTCCTGCATGCAGCTCCAGGTGGTTGCACCCAGAGAGCACACCTGCCCCAGCCAGCCGGGCGACTTGCCTCCAGTTCCCCACCCTTAGACAGACTTTCTTCCCAAACCAATCCCGGAATCTCAGCACTGACTCAACCTCTCAGCCCCAGAGTTACTGCTGCCTGGCCACCCTCAACCTGTCCTGATGTGCGTCTTGGGCCTAGACGACGGCCTTGCCACCCACTACCTCTGTTCTCCTGCTGGCGGCCCACAATCCTCCCTCACATACTAAAACTAAAGTGACCTTTCGGAAAACGTCAAGTCAGAACCACCTCTCCTCCACCAGCCGAGCTCCCTGAGCACTAAATGCTCCCTGTTACTCTGTGGGTTTTTTTGTTTTGTTTTACATTTTATTTTACTTTATTATTTTTTGTGTGTATACCATCAAATCGGATCTGACTGGTACAGGAGGAGATTGCCCCTCCTTCTCCAGCAGAGCATCTAGGGGATTTGAACAGCATCCTTCTGGGACTGCAGTGCAGCTTCTTGCCACTAGGCCACCAGTTGTTGCTGTTACTCCCGGTTACTCTAGGGTGCTCAGGTGGTGAACTCTACAGCAAGATGCATTGCTAAACCCACAGGCTTCACATTCGGGCAGTTCAAGTCCACCGGCCACGCACTGGGAGAATGACGGGCAGTCTCCTCCCCTCACAGTTCACAGCCTCGGAAACCGGGTTGGGATGGGACAGTCACTATGAGTCGGAACCCACTTAACAGGAGTGAGGGAGTTAAGACTCACGCTCCTGACATCCCAGGGAAGCTTCCCTCTTACCTCCCTCCACCGCCCCACCTCTTCACACCCCAGCCAAATGGGCCTGCCTTCTGATCTCAAACATCCCTCCCTCGGACAAGTCTAGGGCCTTTGCCCTGCTAGTTCTTCTTTCCAGAATGTTCTGTTCTCAGCTCTCCCCCATTGGCCCTTAGTGATGACCCTGGCCTTGACCTAAGCGACATTTTAGATTTTCTGCTTTAGATTCTCTGATCGCCCAGCTCCTTAGAGCTACTGTCACTACTTGGATCTTATTTATTATACTTGCTCTGCTTCCTTCCAAGGGGCCCTAGTGGTTAAAGTGCTCAACTGCAAAACCAAAGGTAAGTGGTTCAAATCCACCAGCTGCTCCTAGAGTGGAAGAGGTGGTAATCGGCCTCTGGGAACACACCCTCCAGGAGCTTGACTCTGACCGACAGGGGTGTGTGCAGTCAGAACTGACTCAGTGCCGGTGGGTTTCAGTCTCTCTCCCTAGAACGCTGCCCCCCAGGAACAGCGACCTGTCTGTTGGCCTCCCTTGCCCCCCACGTACCCTCATCTCCTCCGTCCAGTCCATGAGGTACAGCAGGTCCTGAAGCACCTTCTGCAGCTCCAGGTTGAGCAGCAGCCGCCCGCGCCGGGCGGCCACCATCTGCCGCAGGAAGTCCCAGAGCCGCGCCACGTTGTGCTGGCGCGCGGCGATGCGCTTGATGTCGTGGTAGTGTTCGGCGGCCAGCTCTGCGGCCACGGCGTCCACCGCCTGCACCCGGCCGCTGTAGGCCACGATGTCCGTCTCGATGGCCTCGTGCTTCCGCACCGCGGCCTCCACGGCTGCCAGCTCCAGCCCGAAGTTATCCTGCGATGGGGTCGGAGTGTGCAGGTCAGGGGACGCGGGGACAGCCTACTGTGCCCACAGCACCCGCTGCAGGTGCCCCCAGGAGTCAGGCCTCAGCGTTCTCTACTCTCACCCCATCCTGTCGGGTCTCGTTAACCCCTCCCCCGGCCCCAGCTTCTGGACCCTGGATTTGGAGATCACGTTTTTGTCTCCATCAGGGAGACAGGGTGTAGACAGGGTGTCCATTTCTCCTGGACCACTCTGGCCATCCTGGGAACCCCGCGTGGTACCTGGGACACGAGGCGCTGGTTCTCGCTCAGCCAGGTCTCCCTCATGGCCGCCTTGCGGTCAAAGCGTGCTGCCAACTGCTCCAGCTTCTCCTGGCGGATCAGTTCCGTGCGCAGGGCCAGCTCCCGTTCATGCTCGGCCTTCTCCAGCCGCTCCCAGGCCTGTGGGCGGGACGGACTCAGCACTGGGGGACACAGAGGGCAGGCAGGGAGGGGCCGCTCGGTCTGCTGGGTCTGGGGAATGTGGTCGGTCAGACTCCTGAGACGCTGGGAGGTGCCAGGAAGCCATGCGCGAAGTGCCATGCTTATGGACCAGGACTGGACGGGCCAGGGAACATGGAAGCCACTGGGGGTGTGGGGTGTGCTAACAGGACTGTGGGTGAACCTTATTTCTATTTTTGTTTTGTGAAAATGAAAAAAAAAAGTACAAATAGTGAGTTGGAGCATGTTGAGCAAGGAAAAAGGCTTACTGTAGAATTTTATTATGTGCATTACAACAACAACAGCTGTGGGTAGAGCTCTGGTGGCCTCATGTGTAACACAAAGGTGAGCAGTTTGAATTCACCAGATGCTTTACAGGAGAAAGGCAGGTAATCTCCTGTGTGATTTGCAGCCTATGAAAACCCCTCTGGAGGGTCTTCTCAGAGTTTATAAGGTCTTGACAACACACAATAACATTAACAACCGTGAACACACAGTTGTAGAGTCCTCACTTGCCACGCGGGAGACCCGGGTTTGATTCCCTGCCAATGCCCTTTATGTACACGCCATCCATCTGTCTCTAGAGGTTTGTATGTGTCTTGGATGCTGTGACAGACTAGGAAGAAAGGCCTGGCCACCTAGTTCTGAAGACCAGTCAATAGAGACCCCATGGACCACACTTCTCTGACCCGCACCCATCACGGGGGTGGCGCAGGTCCGGGCAGCGTCTGCTCCGTCACCAGGAGCCAACCTGACAGCAGTTATTACCGACAACAAGGATAGAGAGAGCAGTGGGGGCACGAGGGCAGGCTGTGGGCAGTGGGGAGAGGGATGTCAGGGTGGTGGTGGAGGTCCCGGGGTGCAGACCTTGTTGATGTCGGAGATGAGCCGGCCCTCGCGGGGCGTGTAGACCTTCTGGTTGTTGGCCCGCAGTTTGCTCTGGATGGTAAAGAGCAGCACCTCCAGGTTCCCCTTCTCGGTGAACCTGTGGGAGCACCAGGCTGGAGTGAGACGCACGGCCTCTTTTCTGACTCAAGGGGCCTGTGCTGCTTTTCTTATAACAAAAGCAATGACACGCTTTATGTCCAAAACAGAAAATTGTGGGAAACCAAAACAAGCTCATTTTCTGAATAATCAAAAACCACCCTGGGAGCCTGTGATGTGAGCACGTACATGGTTTTACCTATCATGCCCATGGCCAGGCCCGTACTTAGGGCTCTACAGGTCTGAACTCAGCTAATTCTCGCTGTCCTCTACGGTCTCTTCCAAGTTCCCATTTTCCTGATGAGAAGACTGAGGCATCAAGCAGCTAAATAACCTGCATGGTTCACAACTGCTAGGCGGCAGAGCCAGGACTTGAACTCCGGCACTTTGAATGTGCTCACTCAGCAGTCAGCTTTCTGCTGTCCACAAACTGCTGGGTTTTTTTGTTTGTTTGGTTTTTTGTTTGTTTGTTTGTTTTTCAACAATTTCATTTTTATTTGGATTCACAATCAACACTCATGATAGCAAACTGCTGTTTTGTAACCTGCTTATTCTATCATGAGTATCTTTTCATGTCAACAAACACATTTCTTTAACCTTCTTCTCAGTGGCTATACTGTCACTGACTTTCTTGTACTATGTCCTTAAAATAGCATCTTATACAATGCCCAGAAAAGGCCTTCCTGGATCAAAGGGACCTATCAGATCATTCTCCTGTTTACAAGCAAATAGATGCTTCCTGGATTAACATTCATTCTGGAGAGTAAACCGATTAACTCAATAGAAGCATTACCACGTCCTGTATAGAAAGAACTACCTAACAGCAATTATCCACTCTTTCACAAAATCAAAATTCAGTGCTAAACCACAGTAACAACTAAGAGTCTCTGCAATGTGCAAACGCCCAGCCACACTGCCACGCTTCTAGCTTGACTGCCTGTCAGGGCCAAGCCCACCTACCCATTGGCTGGAAATGGGTTACTGACACACCTCCAACCAATACTCTGTCCGAGTGGGTTGTGCCAACTCTAGAAACCCATTCGCAGGGGCATGACTTTGTAAAGCTAAGCCCCGGGATGAATACGTCCAATTTGTTTACTCCACCAGGAGACCAGAAGACCTAGATAGTGCCCAGCTGCCATTACTAAATATTTTCATCACAGATGTGATAGATGAGGAAGAAAAATGGGCAAGAGAACTTCCAATATTTAAAAAGTCAAGGCTTTCTGGACTCATTGAAATGGGAGAAAAATCCACAGAACTATTGACCTGAAATAGTCTTTAAAGCCCTGAACAAAACCAAAGTCATCTCTAGACTAAACAAGTCTAGTTCAATTAGTAAGGAACCTATGTATGGCTTGAGTATTGCACTCTCTTAAAATCATTATATACATGGACTGAATTGACAGGAGTAACTAACTGTACAGCAGAGATAAGAGGCCTGGGGAGGGCGACGACGGTGTACGTCACAGGTGATGAGACAGCCTGAGTAGAAACAGTGAGATGATTGGCAGAGGGAGAAGGCAAGCGGCCCCATCGAACTGGACACGTAGAAATGGTGGGTTGGGGGTGTGTTTTGTTCGGCAAACTTTCATCAGAAGCAAAATAAATATGAAAAATAAATGCCTATGAGAACTGTTTAAAAGGGATATGTGAATGGGTATTCTTGTCATTAAAGAAGTAAAGAGTGAAGGCTGCATAGTGGAGTGGACTTGGGGGGAAGGATTGCATAACAATGAAAGAGTTTTTCTGTCTTTTCAAGGAGAAGAGTGAATTGGGGGAGAGGGTGAACAGGGAGAAAAGTGTAAGAATGAATGACTAGAAACCCTAAGTCTCTGTAAACTTTCACTAAAATTAATTAAAAAAAATACACCTCTGAGCCACTCTGTCATCTGGATGCTTCTGGAATTTTGAGGGAAGGGAAATGACCCTCCACTGACTGAGGAACTGTCAGATTTCCTTCCAAAAGACAGTCCCCTCATAGGCTTTGTCTCCCACGAGCCCACAGTCATGAGCTGAAGGCCTGAATGAGAGTAGCTTTTGAGAGGAGATTGTGGGTGTGTCAGTACAGTGTGACTCTTGGTGGCACAGGGAATTAAGTGTTGGGTTGCTAAGTGAAAGGTGAGTGGTTCAAGATGACCAGACATTCTGCAGGAGGATGAAGCAACGTGCTTGTACAAAGATTTACAGAATTAGAGATCCTACAGGGCAGCTGTCCTGTCATCTGAGGTGATGGACGGGAGGCAGAAAGGACTCGATGGCAGGGGATGTGTTGGTCATTTGTTTGTATCCTTGCATGAAACACGAGGCATGCCCAGCAGGGCACACAGCCCTGGGAACACCTACTTGGGCGGCTTCTCCACGGTGCGGTAGGAGTTGAAGGACTGTAACTGGTTCTGGACCCCGCTCAGGGAGTTGGCCAGCTGCCGGTCATTGAGGGTCACGATGGTTTGCTCAATCCACTGCAGCAGCTCGGAGGCCAGTGACTCGTACTTCTCCACCAAGCGCTCCGCCTCCAGGGCGTGGTCCAGCACCTGTGGATGGAGCGTAAAAGGTGGGGGGCTGTGAGAGGCTGGGAGAGCCATGAGAGGCCTGGGGGGACCAGGAATGACCAGAAGGGGGCCATGAGAGGCTAGGAGGAGGGACGGGGAGAGGCCGGGGAGGGGCCCTGAGGGGCTGGAAGGGCCATGAGAGACCAGAGGGACTGTCAGAGATTAGGGGGAGGCTGTGAAAGGCTGGAGGGGCCATGAGAGGCCAGGGGGACAGTGAAAGGCCAGCGGGGACTGTGAAAGGCCAGGGATGTGTGTGTGTTAGAGAGGCCAGGAGGGGGCCGTAAAGGCCAGGTGGGCCATGAGAGGCTGAAGAGGCTGTTAGAGGCCGGGGTTGCTGCTCCACCTGCCCAGCTGGACCTGCAGACCCTGGACCATGCCTCCTGGGGCCTTCATACCTCCCGCTCAGGGGGGAGAGTACCTTGCCGATTCTTTTGCCCTCCACAGCCAGGGCCTTCATCTTGGAGAAGTAGTGGTAGTACGTAGCCACGTAGGTGATGATTGACTTCTCATCTGGCTGGTCCACGTTCACGTCTGGGGAGGAGGGTCCCTCAGGTCAGGCAGTGGTAAGTTAGAAACCTGCCTTCTGGCGGACACTTACATTTGGGTTCACTAACTCCAATCCCTGGCTCTTCCCACCTGCCCAAGGCCTCCATCAGGGCAAAATGGCAAAGCTATTCAGACTAAAAGGCGACCAAAAAACTCCCTGTCCGCCTAGAAATGGGCAGGCCCACCAAGGACCACACAGAGCCCAGACACCCAGGAAGTCATATCTGGTATTCCCAGGGGACGTGGAGCCCAGTGGACAGAGGAGGGACAAGAATCCACATTCCCACATGGGGATGGATCAGGATTTATGGGCTGGAAAGATGTCAGAGAAGTCTACTAATTCAGGAGCAGCAAGACATAAAGTAGGACTGAGGTTTCTTTAAGCTAGATCTTCAGAGACAAGCCAGGGGAGCCCAGGAATTTGGGGTTCCAACACAGTGCTGTTTCTAATCTCACTCCCAGAAGGCCCCCCATGGAGGCCTTCTGGTCAAACCACAGCTCTCCCCACACCCTGTGTGCCCCACACCACAATCGCAGTCCCTGGTCTCTTGTCGGTGTGTGCTGTGGCATGGGAACAGACTCACAGCTGACCCTCCAGCAGGTTTTTTGAGGCTATAAATTGCCTGGGAAGAGACTGACAGATGGTGGATTCAAACCACCTGCCTTTGGGATGGCAGCGTAATTCCTTACCCACTAGGCCATAAGAGCTCCCTAGACTCTTTTTAGTCTAGATTTTATCCTACTTAGAGGTGAGACGGAGTCCCTGGATGAGGCAACCGGTTAACATACTTGGCTGCTAATCAAACAGTTGAGTGTTTGGATCTATGCAGAGGAACCTCAGAAAAAAAGGCCTGGGCAGCTACTTCTGAAAAAGCCACTGACAACCCTACGGGTCAGTATGACTTTGATACACATCTGAGGCCCCCACAGGTCAGAATTTAATCCATCTCCCTTTTTTTTTTTAAGAGGCAGGATTAGGAGAACAGAAGGCCTCCTGAACAGCTTGAGGATGGAGAGACTTTGCCTCATATGCTCTTACAAGGGGCCGATTCCTGAAGTAGGAACATAGACTTGGTCAGACGGGGTCATCAAAAAAGAGGAAGACCCACACTAAGGCAGCCTGCTGTGAAACGTCACGGATGAGGAACGACTCCACGGCCCCTCACAGCACAACGCTCTGCCTGGCTCTGGAAACACACAAGCAGGAGGAGCCTTTTAAATCGCGTTGGGAAGTCACAGAGCACTTGGCTTTGCTGAAGCATTTATTACGGCTGCAGCCTAGGTCCCCTGCCAAGCTGATGATGCTTGGTCATTCTCGGAGTCAGGGGGCACAGGAGATGGAACTTCGGTTGGATGGAAAAAGGAAAGAAGAAATGATCAAGTGAGCCCACGAAAGTCCCGGCTTCCTTCTCTTTGTCGGTCACATCAAGCTTCTGCCCTCTCTCAGACGGAGAATGCAGAGAAGGGGCTGGGTGGGTTCAAATCTTAGCCAAATGACGGAGGGCATGTCACTTGACCTCTACAGGCCCCATTTATTCCTCTGTCAAGGGTGGGCATCAACAGCACCAATTCCAAGGGTTGGCAGTGAGCACGACATTAGCCAAGGAATGTCTAGTGTGGTGCCCAGCGTGCACCACTGATACCATCGGCCCTGGATTGGCACCACTGGAGCCCGACGGCAGGGTCGGCAGACCGTGATGCTAGTTACTGATGACGCATCCAGGTCATGAGGCTTCAAACCCTACGCCTTGGGAATGCTCCTTAGCATGGTGTGACTTCATCTCGTGGGCTTTGAATGTGTTGTCAGGAAAGAGGACCTCGTGCTTGGAGAAGCAGAGGACAGCAAGGAAGAAGCCCCTCAAGCAGCTGGGCTGGCAGAGCTCACACGGCATGGCTGAGGACGGGGCAGGGCTGACGTGTTCATCTTGCACATGGTGTCGTGATGAGTCACCCAACCACCACCACAGACCTGTAGGCTAAGGCAGGTAAGCCAAGCCCGGGCTGTGGAGAGGAGGAAACGGAGCCCTGGGAAGTCACACTGCGGCTCAGGGTCACACCGAAGTACACCTTGAGTCCCCAGGCTCTTTTCTCTTCGGGGGCTGTCTTTCTCCTACATTTTTAGAATTTCCCCCCCCCCCTTTTATTGTGATTTTAGTGAAAGCTTACAAATCAACCTGGGCTTTTTTTCCATTCAATTATTCATGTGCATTTGTTTTATAATACTGATTACAATGAGTTTAGGGAGCTCTGGTGGCCTACTAGTAAGAAACTGCTGCAATCCCAAGGGCACACAGTTCAAATCCACCAGCTGCTCCGTCGGAGGATGGGCTAACTCCTCCTGTGCTATTAACTGCCTCTGAAAATCTGATGGCGGGTCAGCTGTGGGTCGGTTCCGACTGGACGGTACACAACTACAATGAATTCATGTGATGACTTAGCGGTAATGTCTGATCTTACTGCATATTGCCTTTCTCACCATTTTTCTCCAGTTGTGTTTTATTGAGTTAGAATTCACAAATCAGAAAGTTCTCTGTTTAAGTGCACCATCCAGTGGTCTTTACACTCACAAAATTGTGGAAACACCATCACTATCTGCTTCCAGACCCTTTTCATCACCACAAAGAGAGACCCTACATACTAATCAACCAAAACTCCCATTCTCTCTCTCTCTAGCTCCTAGCAGAAACCAATCAGCCTACTGTCTCTATCGAACCTCCCAGAGAACACTTCCAGACTTACTGCTCCTGAGTCAGTCAGTCACAGGGATCTCACAGGAGGGAGCAGAATAGTCCCACGGGGTTTCCAAAGCTGTAAAACTCTACAGAAGCCAACTACCTCACTCACAGAGCAGCTGGTGGGTTCGAACTGCCAACCTTCTGGTTAGCAGCCGGTGCTTTACCACTGTGCTGGCAGAGGTCTCATCCTACAGCCGCTCCTTCACCCGGCTCTGCCCTCACCTTCAGGGTCCAGCAGTTTGGTGAGCCCCAGCTCCTTCTCGGCCAGATTGAAAGCATTCTGCAGATTGTAGTGGGCGTTACACTTCTTCAGGGACTCGAAGTCCAGCAGGTCTGGCCTGGGAGAGGAGGAGAGAGAGAGAAGGCACTCAAAGCAGGTAAGATTGCAGAGGACAAGCGAGTCCACTTCTACTTTATCCCTGAACCACCCAGCAGTGTTGACCCGACCGAGCGTCCCAACCCCCACCCCTGCTCTGTCCCTCTGTCGGCCATCCTCGCTTCCCCTCCCAAACCCCGGCCTCATCTCCCCGTGCCAGCAGTGCTACACCCCCATGTCCTGCTTCCTCTCTGAACATTCACTCCTAGTAGCCGCTGTGGGGTTCATCCTTTCTGCTACTCGGGAGAGTCAGGGCCTTGGCGGCACCGGGAGCTCAAGATGCTGGCTGATCCTTCCGCCTTCTCACCGGTGTTTATGCACGATGGCGTTGAAGGCCAGCCCGTCTCTCCAGCTGGTGGTGAAGTTGTGCACGTTGACATTGGGATACCTACGAGCAGAGCAGAGGCAAGTCTGACGGCTCTTTCTGAAAATGGCCAGCAAACACCCTGTGGACCACAGTAATCCAATCTCTGACCAAGCCCAGGGCTGGTGAGGGGCTCATGCATGGGGTCACCATCAGTCAAGGGCAGCAAACAACAGACGCGGGGAAAATAGGGAGAAGGGCCAAGCTCCAGGGGCCCTGCTTTTCAAGGGGTCCTTGATGCTCAAATGATAAAGGCTGGCACTTCAAATCTCCCAGCAGCTCCTTGCAGAAGGACCAGGAGGTCCGCTCTTATATAGACTATGGCCCAGGACACCCACCGAGCACTCTGACTCGGCCACAAGTGAGTGCTGTGAGCCAAGGTCAACGCAACGTCACCCAAACGCACCAAGTCTCAACGGTGGCTCCTGGACACGCCAGCCCTCCTCACTGCACAGGCACAGCGTGGCCGGACCCCCACGCCCACCCCAGGGCCTCACCCTGCAGTCTTCATCTGGCACCACAGCAGCAGGGCATCCTTGGCAGACTTCTTCTCCTTGTTGTCTTCTGTCTCTACGCTGATGTCTTGGATCTGAGGAAGAGAGGAAGGTGAGTCCTCGCTCTCTGCCCAGGACGGGGACAGAGCCCTTTCTAGTCTGAGCCAGTGAATGTTGCACCTGTGGGCACAGGGATCTGAGGTATTGGAGTGGGGCTGGGGAGGAGGGCAGTGGAAGGGGCCCTGGGTGAAGGGTGTGGCTGCCCCGAGTCGGGAGCCACAGCCATGAGAAAGCACTTTTCCAAAGGTTGGTTTGGGAGGTGAAGCTAACAGAGCTTGCCTTAGGGCTGGGAAGAACAGAGGAGGACCCAGCTGGAAATGCAGGGGCAACTGGGAGACACATGGCACAACATGTTACACAGGCCCTGGTGGCTCTACAGTGAAGCAGTCAGCTGTTCAGTGAAAAGGTGACAGTTAGAATCTGTCCAGTACACTGCGGAAGAAAGGCCTGGCAATCTGCTTCAGTAGAGAGTAAGAGCCTCAGAAACCCTATGGAGCACCCCGACTCTGTCCTATAGGGTTGCTATGAGCTGGGATCAACTTGCCAGCAGCAGATCTACTAGGTGTTGTTCAGACCAGCGGTCAGAATTGCTGGAGTGGAACCGGCCAACTGTTCTGTGCTCTGAGCGACTCCGGGGTCCTGTACCTGGAAGCGGAGGATGATGGTCCAGACCAGCCCCAGGGTCAGGCGGTGGTTCCCATCCACGATGTCGTGGGAGCCCATGTTTTCTAGATGCACCTTCTGCTCTTTCAGGAACTGCAGCGCCTTGTCCACGTTCTCCAGACAGTGGATCCGCATGCGGCCCTTGGTGGGCTTGGGCTGTCAAGACAGGGGCCAGCAGGTCATGGGGCCATGGGTCACCTCCGTCTTCCGGTTCAGCCCTCCTCCCCGTGGTTCCACTGGGGAGTCCAGGGACAGCCCCATGGCTGGTCCCAAGGTCATGGACCCGAAGCTGAGGTTCCAGATAAGGCTTGGGGCAGATTAAGATTCCCCAGAGAATTAACTACACCATGAGCGGGTGGGAAAAGCAATGTTTTCAATGGGGCCTCTGTTCTGGCCTCCGCGAAGCCAAACTCCTATTTAATCCGGGCAGCAAAGCTGCTCCAAGTGAAGTCACCGTCTGGGCTGGGAAAGTGAAGCCATTTCTGTTGGCTCGATGTTGGCCTCATCTCTCCATGGGCACCCCCCCTCCCGTGACCCCGTAAACTGTGACTCACCAGAGTCTCTCCAGAGAGCACCTCAAGGAGCCGCAGGAGGTTACGTCCATCCCGGAGGTCGCTGTACAGGTCACCCACGCGGCATGTCACCCGGGCCAGGTGCGAGTTCACCCATTTGGTGAAGGTTTTCTTCTGTACGGCCTCTCGCTCATCTGCAGTGGGAACACGTGGTCATTCCTATCCTTGTCTCCTATACCCCGGTGGATGGGCCTGCCCCTAGCCAGGAGGGCAATGGAGGGGGTGAGGCAGAACTGAGAGCCAGGAAGAAAGGCCCAAGGATGATGTGGGGATGAAAGACGAAGGTCCAGAAAAGCTGGGAAATGGAGGGAACAGAATAAAACTCAGGAGTAAGGAGAACAAAAGGGAGAGACAAGAGTGGACTCTGAGAAGAATGAGTGGAAAACTGGGCAAAACGAGATGTGAGAGAAGGGCTCTGGGGCGGGAGCTGGGACACCAGGCCTCAGACGTGTGACTTCACCCCTCAGAGACTCAATTTCCTCATCTGTAAAACGGCAATCTGTTTCACCCGAGCCAGTGTGCTGACCCGAAGAAAAGTGACGGTGGGTAGAAACAGGGAGCTGAGGGCCTGGCATGAAGGCCTCCTTGCGGCCAATGACAGCTGCAAGGGCAGCTGTGGTCGGAGTGACTGAGCCCAGAGGCACGCCTCAGCATCAAGCAGGGGTGGGTGTTCCTCCCGGGTACTGGACAGAGGACAGGGTGCGGCCTCGACCACAGCAGCGGGCCTTCCGTGTGCTCATTAGAAGGACTGGACTTCAACTGAGGCTGCCAGCCTCCTGAGGCAGGTGAGAGGGGCTCCTTTAACCTGAAGGAAACCCGTACTGGTGGAATCCAACTCCTGTCAACACTGTAGGGCAGGAACGCTGAACAGCCCCACTCAGTATCCCTGGCTGTCAGAACTGCCTAGACGGAACTGAACAACAATAACAACTCTTTACAGATAACGACTGTCACATACTTCTCGTGCAGAGCAGCTGGGGGTGGGCGGGGGGGGTTCTTGAACCCTTGTTTTGATGTGCAGTAAAATTCTTTAACCACTGCCCTACCAGTGTTCCTTCGACACTCTCTTGACATAAAATTATTCCACTTGTAAGGAAATTTACTCATATGACACAACCCTGCTTGCTGAAACTGAGGAGGACCTCATGCACTTGCTGCGAAGGGTCAAGGACTGCAGCCTTCAGTATGGACTGAGGCTCAATGTCAAGAAGACAAAGATTCTCACCACTGGACCAAATGGCAGCGTCAGGATGGATGACGAAGAGATTGAGATTGTTCACAGCTTCAGTTTGCTCGGCTCCACAGTCTTGGCACCAGCAGTCAGGAAATCAAAAAGCGTATCGCGATGGGAAAGTCTGCTGTTAGGGACCTCTCTAAAGTACTCAGGAGCAACAGTGTCTCTCTGGAGACTAAGGTGCGCCTGATACAGGCCATGGTATTTGCAATCGCTTGTTATGCATCAGAGAGTTGGACAATGACTAGGAAGGACAGAAGGAGAGTGGATGCTTTTGAGCTGTGGTGCTGGAGAAGGGTACTGAATGTACCCTGGACTGCCAGGAAAACAAATAGATTTATCTTGGAGAGGATTAAACCAAGCTACTCCTTGGAGGCAAGGATTCTGGGGCTTCGTCTGACATACTTTGGACATGTTGCCAGGAGGGACGGGTCCTTGGAGAGGGACATCATGCTTGGGAGGGTTGAGGGACAGCGCAGGAGGGGAAGACCCTCTATGAGATGGATTGATTCAGTGACTGGGGTAATTGGGATGGGTGTGTCAGAGGTGGTGCGGTTGGCGCAGGATAGAGCAGGGTTTAGGGCTATTGTGCACAGGGTCGCTATGAGTCGGAAACGACTCGACAGCACATATCAACAACAACAACAATCATAAAAACTCTCTCAGGGAGCCTCTACTGAGGCCTGGTGACACAGTGGTTAAATGTTCAGCTGCCAACCAAAAGGTTTTGTGTGTGTGCCCCCGCCTGTGTCTGTGAGGAAAAGACCGGGCGGTCTGCACCTGTGAAGATGACAGCCTGGGAGCCCCTCAGGGCGGCTCTGCTCTGTCCTGCAGGGTCACTAAGGGTCGGAGGTGTTCTACGGGCACCCCACACCACCACCACCCGCTTCTGGGTTCACTCAGCGAGCGGCAGGGAGACGCAGGCCCAGGGCTGCAGACATTCCAAGGTACCCAAACGCCAAGCAGAAAAACAAGATCTGGAAAGCTGGCAACTGGAAAAACAATGAACTCAGGAAACACGGCGGGGGAAAACACAAGGCAGAGTTAGTTAGGACCTGTCTTGAAAACCGTTTTGGGGAATGCTCCCCGTTCAGGTCCATGGGTGGACCTGCTGATGGAGGAGGCTGTGAGCCCCACAGAAAAAGAACACTTGAAATATGACAAACCCTAGGCTGTGGAGCGAGAGAGGAGGCTTGGGTGGCTGGACGCCGCCTCGGTCACGGATGGAGGATCCAGGGAGGATCTGGAGTGAGGACACTGCAAGCGGTCACTTTCACTTCCGCGTCAGCACCAGCATCACAGAAACCCAGGAGACTCATCCCTAATCTCACATTCCTGCGCACCCCACCCATCAAACAGGGCGCCACACCCATGCCTACTGCCATCTCCCTCCCTCACCCTTACTTCCCGACTCCAGGGTCCTAATGACTGCGTGGGATGGCCTGGTCACACCCAGGGAACCCTGGGAAAGTGCCCCTGGGTGGCCTTTCAGGGTCTCCGGGTCCTTAGTCAGGGTTTGCTGGGCTCGCCGGCCACTCCTAGACCCAGTGGGCGCTGCCCAGCTCCCAGACAATGAAGAGGGCTGTGTTGGTGCAAAGGTCTAACAGGGGGAAGACGTGGAAACAGTGGCAGCTAGAAGGAAAGTGGGTAAAAAAGCAAGTACCAGAGACAAAGTGGTGCTTCCCAAGGCAGTGGGACATATACATACACACACACACACACACACACACACACACACACACACACTGTAGGTACACATGCACGCACACGGAGATGTGTGCACACAGACACCAACACTCCCATGTGTACATAATAAACATGTGTACACACACACACACTCATGTACACACAAAACACTGGCTCCCAGAGATCCACCTACACATCTGTGCGGTGTCAGCACAGCAGAGCTTCCACCTGGACCGATTTGCCACAAACTCCCTTTTGACACACTTTCAATTTCCACACACATGGCTTCCTCCCATTCAGCCAGACACCCCCTGAGCAGCCCAGGGAGGTCACTCCTCTTCTCTCCTCCCCACCCACCAAGCTCCATCTCCAAATCCAGAGGAGGCGAGGTGTCTCCGCAGAAGGCCTCCTCCACACGTGCTGACAGGAGGCTGCCTTTTGGGGTCCCCGGTTCACCGTGGGCCGCCTTGGGCCACACTCGGTTCCTGGCTCTCACACCTGTGCCTTTCCAGAGGACTTCAAGCCAGTCCGATCTGGTCCCCACCCCAGCTGTCCTGACCTTGCACTGCTCCCCTCTGAGCACTGTCCCTGGCGCACACATCTGAGGTCCGCTTGCGTGCCCCTCACTCCCGGTCCAGGGTGGTCCCCGCTGCCCCGGCTGCGTCCTGGCCCTGGCGCGGCCCGGGCCGGGGAGGGGGCTCACCTTGCAGCTGTTTGAAGCGTCCTTCCAGCACGCTGGCGTACTGCGCAGGGTTGATGAAGGCGGCTGGCGAGAGCAGGAGGCCCCCAGGGTTCTGCGCCCCTTCCAGAGCCTCATAGTAAAACTCCTCAGCCCCGTTCAGGCCGTTGCCATGAGCCCTGGCCACGCTGTTGCCATTCATGGTGTCGCCGCCTGCTACAGAGCCGAGGGCCCAGAGTTCATTCTAAGCCCCGCAAGGCGGGATCTCTGTGGCACGTGTGGGTCCCCAGGAGCCTGTGTGTGGATCCCGGAGGGCCGGGGTCCCTGGCGGCGGGGATTCAGGAAGGAAGGTTCCGGGAGAGGAGCTCCGGGTGCCAGCACTCCGGGGCCGGGACGCGGCTGTTCGCTCGCTCGGGACGCGTCCGGGCGCACCTGGCTGCCAGAGGCCGCTCCAGACAAACAGGTTGGACGGCGGAGGGCGGGGAGGCGGGGCGGCCG